CCTGCCCAGTGAGGCTTCTCCCTCCCTCCTGAATTTCCCTGTTCTCTGGGTTTTGTAGCCACCATCCAGTCATTGCAATAAAGGACATTCTCTGCCCCTGGACTTGAATGTAGACTCCACTACCACCTTGCCCTCCTATGCTTAGCTCTTGGGTTCTCCTGGGAAGTAGGGTAGCTGCAACCCCTCCCTTTCCCTCTTTTGGTACACCTGAGTAAAACAGGGGCTTTAATATGTATCACAGGGACCAGAATGACTCCCTTTGAAATTAAATACAATTAGTAAAGACTTGAAAATGCACACAGGATCTGTGAACACAAGATACTGAGCAAAGACAAAAGAAAAGCTGATAGAACAACAATTTCATAACTGTTACATAACCGGAATGATGGGAAATTAGAACTGGCTATCAGTTTTGGACGTTGCAAGCCTCTAGAACTCAACCATCACATTGTTGCAGTGGTTTCAGGTGTCCCCCTTTGTGGTTTGAGAAACATGTGTTCAACATGTTGTCTAGGTAGATGGAAGAGAATGGCTCAGTCTGTCATGGGGAAAAAAATTGAGCTAAGAGTGCGTTGCCAATCACGGTTCAATTTATGTCCTGATGGAGTGGCCAGTCCAAGGGCAGCAAAAATCAGGATTTTACAAAGGGGTGGAGCCACTGAAAACGTGTCACTGACAGTGCAAGATGAGGACTGTGTGAATACCTGAAGGTGACATCAACCCCTGCCCCCCAGTGCGACTCTCTAGGAATTCCCCAATACTCTGTGGTAAAAGCCATGGATATTACGGAAAGTCCTCTGGAATTGTGGGCTTTTACCTCTTCTTTCCTACCACCTCCTATTACCTCTCCTTCTTTGAACACCTATGTTGCTACCTTATACTGAATCGGACCACTAACTGGCAGCAGCTCTCAGCAGAGGTCTTTCACATCACCTACTACCCTACCTTTCAAATGGAAATGCCGGGGATTGTCCCTGGGACCTTCTGCATGCCAGGCAAATGCTCAACACTGAGCTACGGACACTTCCTTTTTGCCAGCTTTGGATGCAGCAAAACCAAAATGGATCTCTTCGGAAGTTCTTTCCGCAGCATTCATTCAAGAAACACCCCAAATCACGCTTCCTTCCTTTGTCTTGTGTCTGGCAGTGGAAGTTTATTCTCATTAGTAAAACCAAAATAGTTGCATTCATAAATTACTTCTCTCCTAGAAGAAAGTCATCTAAAAATCTCTTTGAAAGTGAAAGGTATTGGTGAGCACACTCCAATCCATCCAATTGATTCCCTTGATGTTCTTTCTCTTTTCACCAAGCTCCACACCCTACTTCAGAGAATTGCTTTCAACAACAGCGCTGGAGATGAAGTGTCCTTTGATGAACAACGAGAACTGAAAGGTGGATTTGATATTACCAACTTGATCACTTTCCCAAATAACTCCTATGTCAGAGTCAAGATCGGGAGGCTGGATCCTCAGGATCCTCTTGGTAAAACAGTGATGATCGATCAAGACAGGATTAAATGGAACAGACACTTTTCACAGGTGAGAAAACATCTCAGTGTCTCTCAAAATACAAAACCCATTGTCATTTAAGGAAATGGGTAGGCAAAATGGAGAGTAATTCCGAAGCAAAACACTCATAGTGGCTTCTCCGTTCTAAATTCTTGCTTTCTTCAAGGACAGGTGCCTCCTTTCTCTCTGTGTAATGATCCCTGCAAGCCTGGTTACAGCAGAAGAAGGAAGGAAGGGGAGAAATTCTGCTGCTACCATTGTGATCTGTGTCCAGAAGGGAAGATGGCAGACAAAGAAGGTAGGAAATGCTCTGGTCAAGATTGCTCTTGTTAAAGATTCCCAAAAGTTTGATCACTTGAAGGGTAGGAATTTAAACCTCTGCACTTTGAGGAAACATCCAAAAAGACCTATATATGCTGCTTTGTCATGATGCATTCAGAAAGTATAACAGAAGTCGAGTCCTACTGGATCAGACCAGTGGTCCATCAAGTCCAGCACCCTTTCTCAATAGTAGCCAATCAGTTCATCTCGATGGCCAACAACAGGTCATTGAGGCCAAAGCCTTCCCTTGATGTTGCCTCCCAGTGCTTGTACTCAGAGATTCATTGCCTCTGAAGGTGGAGGATCCCTTTAGTCAACATGGTTAGTAGCCATTGATAGGTTATCCTCCATGAGTCTGTCTGATTCCCTTTCTAAGCTTCCTGACTCTGTGGCCATCTCTACATTAACTGGCAGCAAATTCCATGTTTTTAATTAAGTGGTGTGTAAAGAAGTATTTCCTTTTGTCTCTGCTGGATCTGCTGTCCATTAGTTTCCTAGAATACCCTTGAAGTCTAATATTTTGGGTGAGGGAGACAAAGTTATTTTGTCCTCACTCTCTATCCCATGCAGTATTTTGTTAACCTCTATCATCCCTGTCCCTTTAGTCATCTCATTTCTAAACTGAAAAGGCATCTAGACTCTTCAACCTTTCCTCATTGGAGAAGTCCTCTAACCTCTTAATAACCTCGATCACCTTCTACTGTACTTTCCCCAGCTCTGTGATGAGATATGGTAATCAAAATTGCTCATAGTATCTACACAGAGGCATTATAATATTGGCTGTTTTATTTTCAGTCATTTTTCTAATGCTCCCCAGTATAAAGTTAGAATATTTTTTCTGCTGCAGTAGACTGGGTCGACACTTCCACTGAGTTATCCACTAAGACCTCAAGATCTCTTTCCTTCTCAGTTTCTACAAGTTCAGTCTTCATTTGCATATACTTGAAGCTGGGAAATTTTTTGCTACTTTACACTTAGTTCTCTTGAACATTCCTGTGCATTTCTCTATTTCCAGAGATTTTTGAGAACTTATGGGAAATCAGATTCAAAGGAAACAGAATTACTGGACAGCAATAGGGCTTAGTCCTGTTTTAAGGACAGAGACTATTTGGTAAGAAATTGAGAAGCATCAACAGGAACCATGAAAGTCCCGCAAAAGTTCTTTAACCACAATAGGATTCATGCTCTCATCTCAATATATCCTTGAAGGTGCAAATGGCAGCATCACTTCTTACATAGTTTCAATGTTAGAACAGGTTTATAAAACTGTTTTCATCATGGATTGATGATACAATGTTACGTACAATCTAACAAAAGCTATTCGACCTAGAATTACATAATTTTCATCCTTCACATTCGCATATTTACTCACAAGCTCACCTTAACCTCTCTACGCAATATGGCCAAATGGCCCATTATTTACATAATCTCAGCCTTCCTTCCCATCGAAGAGCCTTTACGTTGGCTCGACTAAACATCCTTCCCTCAAACATGTTGCAGGGTATGAAACAGTTATGTATGAAACTGTTACCCCTTCGGCCACACTTGTTTACTAATAATCTTAAAGCTGTTCAATATCTTCCTAACGATGTTAATACTGATACTATTATTATGGTCGCAGAATTCTTAGCTGAATCAGCCGCACAGAGACAGCCTTTTAACGTAATACTAATATTTTATTGTCTAAATTTACCTACTGGAATTCAATATATCATCTTAAATGTATTTATTATATACCTCTATGCAATTAAAGATGTCTGAATCTGAATTTATTATGAAACTGTCTAAGTAGGTTATCTTCCCCTTTCAGACATGGATTATTGTATCATTTGCCCTGAAGGTCATTATCCAAACCAGAGACAAGACCAGTGCCTTCCCAAGATTTCAAACTTCCTTTCATTTTCTGAACCTCTGAGCATTGTTTTAGCCTTTTTAGCGCTTTTCTTCTCTCTGATAACAGCTCTGGTGCTGATGTCCTTCATAAAACACAAGGACACTCCCATTGTTAAAGCCAACAACCAGAGCCTCACCTACATTCTGCTCATCTCTCTTTTCCTTTGCTTCCTCTGCTCCTTGCTCTTCATTGGACAGCCTAACAGGGTGACCTGCCTCCTCCGACAGATGACTTTTGGCATCATCTTCTCTGTTGCTGTTTCTTCTGTTCTGGCAAAAACAGTGACTGTGGTTGTGGCATTTATGGCCTCCAAGCCGGGAAACCTTTTCAAAAAATGGGTGGGGAAACAATTGGCACGTTATATTGTTATTTCTTGCTCCTTTGTTCAAGTTGGCATTTGTGCTGTTTGGCTTGGTTCTTCACCTCCCTTCCCAGATACTGACATACATTCACTGAGAAGAGAAATCATAGTGCAATGCAATGAAGGGTCAGTCACCATGTTTTATTGTGCCTTGAGTTACATTGGATTTCTTGCCACCTTCTGCTTCATTGTAGCTTTTCTAGCAAGAAACTTGCCTGACAGTTTCAATGAAGCCAAGTTCATCACCTTCAGCATGTTGGTCTTTTGCTGTGTTTGGCTGTCCTTTGTCCCAACCTACCTGAGCACGAAAGGAAAAGACATGGTTGCTGTGGAGATCTTCTCTATCTTAGCTTCCAGTGCTGGCTTACTGGGCTGTATCTTTTTGCCCAAATGCTATGTCATTATTCTGCGGCCAGAATTGAACAGAAGAGAGCAGCTGATAAGGAAAAAGCACTAAATTCTTTAATCAGACAGGTCCTTGTTCTCCAGTTGTATTTTTTAAATCAAACTCAAATATGGAATTTTTGTTTTGTGGAGAGAATGAAACCCATGAAACATTTTAAGAATAGAATAGAATAGAATAGAATAGGAATAGAATAGAATAGAATAGAATAGAATAGAATAGAATAGAATATAGAAATTGTTACTTCAAGTTTCATTATATCCTAGAAGATTTAGGGAAAACTAATGTTGGGAAAACTAACCTTGAACATTTTGGGAAAACTAACCTTGAAGATCACTACAAGACTAAAGAAGACTTTTTGAATATGACGAAATGCATAGAATTAATCAGAATTGCCAGTAAGAATAAACTTCCATGTGATATTTTGGAGAAATTCACACTGAATAAAACAAGGGATTTTATACTGAACAAGCAGAGAGTTTCTCCTCTTAAAATTCATGTGACTGAGATCCAGGTTTTTCAAGACCTTCCTTCAATTCTTTTGAAAAAAAGGAGATACTTTGTTTTTGTAAAAGAAACCCAACAACAGAAAGATATAAAATACCATTAGAGAATCCCATTTACATTAGAGGTGTATTTACCAAAGGGTAGAAGAATTATATTTATGACTGAACAAGCTAAACAAGCAGAAGAACGATCCGACACTGAAACAAGCAGTGAAGAAGGAAAATTGGACCAAGCTGCTGCACTTCTTTAAAGATGAATAATCTGAATGTATTATCAATCAACATCAATGGCATTAACTCTCCTACTAAAAGATCCAGAACCTTCAGCATTAAAGAAACAAAAAGCATACATTATATGTATACACGAAACCCATATAAAGAACAACATGAACATATTTTGATAAACAGGAAATTGGGCAGGATACATGCAACATCTGCAAATGAGAAGAAAAAAGGTACAGCGATTTACATAACAAACCAATGAATCAGAGTTACACAGGAGTTGAAATATCCAGAAGGAAGATACTTCATTTTGAAGGCCAAATTACCAGGTGGTAAGACTGACACACTGGTATAATTTTTATGAGATTTCCCCCCAAAAGTTATTAAATTAATAACTTTAAAAAGTTATTAAAAGAAGGGAAAATTATGATTTTTGGGGACATGACTGGAGTTTTGGATCCTAAAAAAAGACAAGACAAGGAAGATAAAAAGAAGTAGACTTCTGAAGAATGTTTCTGGTATATGGATATATTACACTTAATTGACACTTGGAAAGTGATGAATCCCAAATCAGGAAGTTACACTTTTTATTCCAACAGACATTAAGTGTATTCAAGAATTGATATGTGCTGGATGTCTAAAGTGTTAATTACAAACCTAAAGAATGCTGAGATTTGACCAAAGATATTTGCAAATCGCACCCCTCTCTAAATACCTTGGCAAGGGAGAAGATTGGGGAAAAGAAGGTGGAGATTAAATGATGATATCCTGCTTCAAAAAGAAGTAATTGAGAAATGCAACAAGTACTTAGCTGAATTTTTTAAACTAAATATAACAGAAAATGTGTCCCTGACAAAGATTTGGGAGGCAATAAAGCTTTTATGAGAGGAAACCTTATTGTGAAAATAATGGAAAGAATTCAAACATTGGAAGAGCAGCATATAAATACATCAAAGAAAGCTGTTTTAAAAGAAATCAAACAATTGAAAAATCAATTAAATGTGATTGAAACAAAAGAAATCCAGAAAAAAAGATTTATCAAACAAAAGTACTTTGAACATGCAAACAAAGATGGACAGTATTTGGCATATTGTTTAAGAAAAGAAAGTGAAAGAAGGTCAATAACTGGAGTAAAAAATTAGATGAAATTTCCTTTCGAGGATATACATGAACAGTTTGTTCACTTTTTCACATCTTTACAAGAAAAAGAACTGAGGAAGGTCTATTTAGAAATATTTCAATACCCAAATTTATGAAAGATTATATAGATATGTTAAACCAGAATACTACAATACATCTCACAAGCAATTAAGAAATTGAAAAAGGATAAAGCTCGAGGCCCAAATGGTTTGTCGGCATTATATTACAAATGCTTGGAAGAAGAGTTAATCCTGCCACTCCAAAAATGGATGGATCAAATAAGTGAAAACAAAGTACCTCCTCAGTCATGGCAAGAAGGACATATAACATTAATTCCCAAGGAAGGGAATGATCCAACATTACTTCAATCATATAGACCTATTTCGTTATTAAATGTGGATTATAAACTTTTTGCCTCAGTAATGGTGGAATGGCTTAAGAGATGTATAACAAAAACAATTCATCCTGATCAGACAGGGTTCATCCCCAAGAGATACATGAAAGAGAATGTTTGCTTGATAATTGATGCTATGAAATTTGTACGAAGTAAAGAAGAGGAAGCCGTTTTTATGGTTTTAGATGCTGAAAAAGCTTTTGATAATTTATCTTGGACTTTCTTGCAAAGAGTGTTAGAGCATTTAAATTGTGGAGATAAATTCCTTAATTGGATTCAAGGAATTTATATGAAGCCGAGTGCTAAAATATTAATCAATGGATTGTTATCAGATGATTTCCAGATTGAAAAAGGAGTGAGACAAGGTTGTCCTCTATCACCTTTATTATTTACTAGGAATAAGGTCCATCATGGAAATAAATACAACAAGCTCTAGAAAGAGGCTCTGGGAGAGTGCCCAGGCCTTGGGCACTCAGTGTCAATTTGCTGTGGTGACCTCAACATGGTATAATGACACAGAGTCCACCATTTTCTCCAGAGGTACTGACCTCTGCTACCTGAAGAGCAGTTGTAATTTTGAGTGATCTCCAGCCCTCACCTGGAGATTGGCAACAATTTTTACCCAGGATGAAATGGCTGGTTTGGAGGGTGGAGTCTATGGCATTGTACCTGTCTGAGGTCCAACCCCTCCTCAAACCCCACCCTCTTCAGCCTCCACCTTTCAAATCTCCAGGAATCTCCTAACCTGGAGTTGGCAACCCTATCTCCCTCCCAGCCACCATCAACCTACCATTATCTGCCCCCTCACTCTTCAGCTTTCCACCTCCTCCCCTCCCTCATAGAAAGTAGTTGTAATTCTGAGTGATCCCCAGCCCTCACCTGGAGATTGGCTGGGAATGGCTGGTTTGGAGGGTGGAGTCTATGGCATTGTACCTGTATGAGGTCCCACCCCTCCTCAAACCTCACCCTCTCCAGTCTCCATCCCTCAAATCTCCAGGAGTTTCCCACCTGGAGTTGGAACCTTATCTTCTTCCCAGCCAATCATCAACTTACCTTTATTTCCCCCTCACTCTTCAGTTTTCCATCTCCCCCCCACACCTGCAGCCTCTACCGTGCTCTGAAGCCCTGATTGCTACATTACATTGGCTGTCATGGGGGGCCATCTCAGCAGGGTATAAGGACACAGAGTCCACCATTTTCTCCAAGGGAACAGGTCTCTGCCATCTGGAGAGCAATTGTAATTCTGAGGGATCTCCAGCCCTCACCTGGAGATGGGCAGCAATGTTTCCCCAGGAGGCAAAGTAGTCTTTCACTGCAATGGGGACCAAAGCAGCTTACATCATTCCCCTCTCCCCCTTTTGACTTGCACAAGAACCCTGTGAAGTAGGTTAGGCTGAAAGTCTGTAACTGGTCCAAAATCACCCACTCAGAACCTGGGTCTAGCAGACGCTGCTCTGAAGCGCTGACTGGTATGCCTAGGGTAGCGAACCTCCAGGTGAAGCCTGAAGATTTCCAGGTATCACAACTGAACTTCAGACAACAGAGCTCTCTCTCCCCCTGGAGAAAATAACTGCTTTGGAGGGTGGCCTCTATGGCATTCGATTCAGCTGAGGCCTCTCCCCTCCCCAAATTCTAACTTCTTTAGACTGGCTTCCTTAGACACAGAATAGTCAGGAATTTCCCAACCTGGAGCTGGCAACCCTAGTAAGGACTGGCCCCAATGAGTTCCTCACAAAGGCCTGGAAAGGGTTTCCTTTCTTTGTCTTTTTACTGATAGAATCAATCTTGGTTGTCTAGCCTCAGCCACTGAGGCAATAGTCCCACAGGAGCCAAGCAAGAGAAGTGTCTTCGTCAGGACAGACAGCCATCTGGCAGTTATTCTGGCAGGAAACAGTGGCTGAAGTGGGAGTGGGTGGGGAAGAGGAGTGGACCCAGCAACCAGCCAATGGCACACAAGTACTCTTGAGTGGCGGTTGATGGGCCAATGGGTGATGGAGCGCACTTCACAACCAATGGGAGAGCTGAAAACGGCCAACAAGCTAAGAGAATTATTATATTAAGATTCTTCAAATGGAAATATTTGCTTCTGGTATCAGAGAAGATCGAAACATCAAAGTTCTGATTGTTGACAGAGAAGAATTTAAGATAAAAAGTTATGTGGACATGTTGTTTTAGTAATATTTAATCCACAAAAGTAAATGCATTACCTCATGAGACTTACAGAAAAGTTTGGTTCTTTTTCAGGATTTAAAATTAACAGGAATAAAACTAAAATAATCTCTAGATTTCTTACAAAACAGGAAGAAGATAATGTTAAAACAATTACTGGATGTGACATTGTAATCAATTCAATAAAATACCTGGGAGATAATGTGTCAGCGGAAAATGTCATGCTTTTTCAGGAAAATTATGAAGTAGTAGGGAAGAAAATACTAAAAGATTTGGAAAGAGGGTCCTAATTAAAGTTGCCTTGGCTTGGTAAAATCTCTACAATAAAAACGAATCTCTTGCTATAAATAAACTTTTTATTTCAAGTGCCTCCAAGTGGAATTCCTGATAAAACCCTAAAGAATTGGCGAAGTCAGATAAATGCATTTATATGGAACGGTAAGAGACCAAGAGTCAGATTCAAAGTATTACAGGATGAGAAGAAAAGAGGAGGCCTAGCAGTACCTAATATTAAGCTAGATTATCAAGCAGCTGGTTTAGTATGGATTTCTGATTGGATCAAAATTCTATATGAAAGATTGATGAAATTGGAAGTTGCTGACTTGACGGAAGGTTTGCATACC